CACAGGCGCCCGCCACAACGCCCGGCTATTTTTTGGTTGCAGCCATCATTGTTGTTTGGCGGGTCCGGGCTGGGGATTCGAACCCGCCACCTTAGCTGTACGTGGCTGGCGCCTTAGCCGGTTGAGCTATAGGCGCCGAGCCAGAAAAAGGCTAATTCTTAATTGCTTGGGAATATCTAATGTTGAGATTCGCCGTTTCTGTTCTTATGCATTTTAATGGCATAGGGCCTTGTGTCTCTGCCAAGAATGCGAGAACTTTACTCAGCTAGTAAATCCTCATTTACCCAGAAACCACAGATTGAACAGTGGCACTCTCTTCCCTGGAGAGCTTTAGGATTGTTTTTCCCTGTGACTTTTGTGTGATCCTGACGGCCTGTCGCCTGAAGGAGGTTTGATAAGTTCTTTGCTACATGTTTTTTCTTGTCCTTCTGTGCAAGTCTTGGGCAGAACTGGCACACTACTACCTTCCTCCAGTATTTGAAGTTACTCTTTCAGCAGATAAGAAGCCCTGCTTGTGATAGCGTGTTAATATTCTAATCAAGGAAAAAGGCATTGAATGCCAAATGTTTCACGCTGGCTGTTCTTTGGTGGCAGTGTTGGGAGAAGGACTGGCCAAGGGAGACGACGCCTTTCGGACGGTGCTCTACTGCATGCAGCTGAAAGGAAAGCTCCAGCCCGTGTCCGCCATTCTTGCCAAGTCACTGACGGGAGAGTCCCTGGTAAGTTGACGGGCTCTAATTTTGTATGGCTGCCGACAGACTTTGATGTGACACCAGATGTATTGTGGGGAAACCGAGTGTGGTTTTTTCAGTAGTTCTTCATCTGAGAAATCAAAGTTCGTGAATATCTTGAGGTACAGTACTCATTTGTCTCAAACAAACTGATGTGTAGACATTGGATTCTTGTCATTTGTGATAATTTCTATAAGGATTGCGGGTCCTTGTAAGTAATTTGAAAGTCTAAGATAACTAAATGATTTTTTTTAAAGATATAACTTAAGAGAACTTGGAAATATTTAGGGATTCCCGCGTGGTTATATGATCTTACAGAGTTTTATGTCATAAAATGTTTAAATCTGGCTCAACTAAGTAATAATTTCATTCATTTCTGAAGATGATATGTGTGCAAATTAATATCTGTAACCACTCTGCTGGAGTCATCTAATCAGACTTTGGGATAGGTTTTTTAATATAGAATTTATTTATTCATTCATTCATTCATTCTGAAGAGATGGCATCTTGCTACTTTGCCCAAGCTGGAGTGCAGTGGCCTATTCACAGGTGTGATCATAGTGCACTGTGGCCTTGAGCTCCTGGGCTCAAATGATCCCCCTGTTTCAGCCTCCCAAGTAGCTGGGACTACAGGTTTGTGCCACTACACCTGAGTCTGCATTTAATTTTTTAGATTTTTTTAGTTTTGACTGAGATAATAGAAAAACTACTTTTTGAAACTTTAGAGATTGATAAACTACATAAATCAGAAGAAAAGATATATAACCTTATTTTACCAGTTGGTAAACTGGTAAGAAATTTGCTGTTTTCTTTCAGAGATCATGATGAAAAACAGTAAAAGCAAGAAAGTATTTGTATACTTTGCTGTGTACTATGAATTCTTGAATTGATATAGGTTGTGTTCTTGTGAATTGATAAGGATTGTGAAAATCTGGAGCAGAGTTGAGTTTACATTGCAAATAAATATATTTGGCAAAAAAAAGATTAGGAAAGTACTTAGTATACTTTTGAATGTAATATATTGGCCAATCTGAAGGAATAATTTAATCATTTTCTAAGGAATTATGGTGCAGCGAATTGTTTAATTAGTTTAGCTTGTCGTTTGGTTTTACCAGATTCACAAATGAACTTAAAAGCTAAAATACATTATTAATGTAACAAAATTACATAGCTATTTATCTAGTTCCAAATAGATGATAAGTGATAAATTTCTTTTTTGTTATTAAGAGAATTCTTTGGCTCGGCGCCTGTGGCTCAAGTGGCTAAGGTGCCAGCCACATACACCTAAGGTGGTGGGTTCGAATCCAGCCCAGACCCGCCAAACAACAATGACAACTGCAACCAAAAAATAGCCGGGCGTTGTGGCGGGTGCCTGTGGTCCCAGCTACTTGGGAGGCAGAGGCAGGAGACTCGCTTGAGCCCAGGAGTTGGA